GTGGGTCAAAGGAGTAGGGCGCTGGCCCCATATGCTGGAGATAGTGGGTCAAACTCAGCCATGGCCAAAAAATGCAAAGAAAAAAAAAAAAAAAAGCAACTTGTTGAGTTTTTCTTTTTGAGACAGGGTCTCACTGTGTTGCCTAGGTGAGAGTGCAGTGGTGTTATCACAGTTCACTACAACCCAACTCCTGGGCTCAAGGAATCCTCCTGCCTTAGCCTCCCAAGTAACTGAGACTACAGGTGCATGCCATCATGCCTGGCTAATTTTTTAAATTTTTTTGTAAAGACAGGGTCTTGCTATGTTGTCCAGGCTGGTCTTGAACTTGTGGCCTGCCAAGATGCTGGGATCTGGTCTTGCTTCTTAAAAAACCCAATCTCATGTTCATTAATAGCTAAGCTCAAAATTAGCACTGAAGGAATATAGTTATGAACAGGCACTGGAGGGAGAAGGTGGGGGTAGGAGAAAAGAACCCAAACTGATTACCACTTCCAGATGATTCTCCCTACTGCTGTTGTCACTCAGGTGGATCTCTCTTTCAATCCTTGGTTGACCCCTCAGAAATGAAACCGTGCCAACTGAGGCATACAGGGGTCCCGTATGATACATGGTGTGATACTGAACGTTCCCTGGTTTCTTACTAATCAAAATACTCAACCTAAGTTGTTTTCAGACTCTGCTATTTATACAAATTATTTTAGGGACAACTGTGAAAAGTACTGAGAATGAAGCATATGACTCTCACAGACTCAAGTCAGGTACATAATAGTAACTTTTGTCATCAAGTTTTTGTTTGCAAAATGAACAGCTCCTGTGAGTGTCACTTGCACCCAGCAAACGTATTGAAGGCCCAAAGGCATCACTTGTATTCAAAAGGTTAATATGACAAGAGGAAAAACTGATGTTTCACTTTATAGGGTTGTGTTTCTTCCACATGGTGCACACAGGATGCTCCAGGAAAAAGCAGCTCCAACTGGTTGGCAAAGCAGAGTCTAATGGGTACAGTATCACAGACCTGACCTTGGTTTTGATGCCAAAGCTCAACATTTTTCATGATAAAAGTCTGTACAAATCAACCAACATCCTGGCATGAATGTCCAGGAGCTCCAATGACATGTCCAAGGTGGATCAGAGGCTGCGGAGCTCCAGTAAGTCAAAAGTGACATTTACAGTGCTCTACCAATCTCTATCTTTTCAGAAAGGTTTATAGACATCAGATTCAATGAAATTCAAAGACAAAACCAAAATAAACTTGAAGGGAAATAAGCCCAAATCCACTTACATTTTTGCTTCTTCTCTTGTTGCATACGTGACATTGACAACGGCAGTTTCTGTGTCTGTGTTGACTAGGGAAAAAGCAAAAACTACACTGTTATAGAAAAAAAAAACTGTCACCCTATGGCTTAATGTAAACAGATGAACTACAGGGAGAAATACACAGAAAACCTCACTACCCTATCTCTATAGTTATTTGCATCTGTTTATTCATGTGCATTCATAGTAATTTGTAATCAAATGTGTATTACATATTTATAATTGATTGTATATACCAGTCAGAACTATATTTTCCTTTTTTTTTTCTTTTTGAGACAGAGTCTCACTTTGTCACCTTCAGTAGAGTGCTGTAGCATTGTAGCTCACAGCAACCTCAAACTCTTGGGCTCAAGTGATCTTCTTGCCTTAGCCTCTTAAGTAATTGAGACTATAGGCATGCACCACAATGCCAGGTTATTTTTAGAGATGGGGGTCTCACTCTTGCTCAGGCTGGTCTGAAATTCTTGAGCTCAGATGATCCATCTGCCTCAGCCTCCCAGAGTGCTAGGATTATAGGTGTGGCATCATCATAGTTCACTGCAACCTCAAACTCTGGGCTCAAGTGATCCTCCTGCCTCAGGCTCCCCAGTAGCTAAGACTACAAGTGCACACCACACTGCCCATCTAACTGTTCTATTTTTAGCAGAGACGGGGTCTCACTCTTGCTCAGGCTGGCTTCAAACTCCTTCCTGAGCTCAAACCCACCTTGGTTCAACAGAGTGCTAGGATTACAGGTGTGATCCATTGTGCCTGGCCTGAACTATATTTTTCACTTATTTTATAAATATTTTTGCCTGAGTATATCTACATGGACATTTTTGTTGTATTTTTCATTTCTAATGTCTACATAAAATTTAACCAGTCAACTATGCCATTTGCTAACCATTCCCCAATTTTTGGCAAATAGGTTGTTCCCAGAATTTGCTATTCTAAACAGTGTTGCTATAAATCACCTTTGCTAAAAACATCACTTGATTTTGTGGTCTTCTGAATTACTTTTTTTTTGAGACAATCTCAAGCTGTTGCCCTAGGTAGAGTGCTGTGGCATCACAGCTCACAGCAATCTCCAAGTGGCATCACAGCTCACAGCAACCTCCAACTCTTGGGCTTAAGCAATTCTCTTGCCAAGTAGCTGGGACTACAGGCGCCCTCCATAATGCCCGGCTA